GAGGCGCTTGGCATTTCACAGGGTCAGCCTTCAGGGAGGAGAAGGAGCCGCCTCCATTGGGGAGGTGGGACAGGGCAATGCCAGCACCTGCAGAACAAGGAGGCGTCCAGAGACTCTGCGACGGCCCCAGAAAAAGGGTGCTTGCCAGAGAGGCAGAATTTTGGGACTCTTGAGGTGGTAGCAGCTCCTGCGGAAGGAAGCAGGGAGGCTTGAGGAGCCATTTCTGACAGGAGGACACCTGCAGCATTCACCCGAGTCGCTGCCTTTCCCCTCCAGCCCCCTCAGCCTCCCCACAGACCCCCGGGAGATGGGGGCACCCAGCCTGCAGCTGTGGTGGGCGGGGGGCCGGCCACAGGCACTTTCCCTTCAGCCTGTGGCAAAATCGCTTGAGCAGCCTCACCTGAGCGCCGGGTCAGCTGAGCCTGCCTTCATCCCTCTGGCTGGTTGATTCAGGGCCTGGTTCGGGTACGGTTTTCCAGCTCCTGACCAGGTAGGGTTGTGGATGTGGAAGAGCAGGTGGCGGCAAGGCCTCCACGTGCCCGTGGTTGCGGAGCGCTTGGCTCTTCACCTCCCTGCGGCACGCGTGAGGAGCAAGCCGGTACCGCAGCTGCAGGGAGCGGCAAGGCCCAGCCTTCGTCAGCGCTTAGCGGCTTCAGCACCTGGCTCGCGGTTATCGGCAGACATACCAGCACGTCAGGGCTTTCCAGCTCAAAGGGAAAGGGCGCAAGCACAGTGAAATTTTGCTCTTACGTTTACCGCAGTGCAATAGGGTTGACAGAGTGTATGCCTACGTGCATCCCCCATAACAGAGGCAGGTTTCACCGTTTCTTTGCCTGTACCTTTCCGTTCCATAAATGGGGGCAAAAGATTTCCCTTGCAAGGGTGCAGTGAACATTAGTTTGCTGATATTCGTTGCAGCTATCAAGCTGCACATACACTGAGTCAGATACCCTTCCCCACTGGCTGTCTCTTTCACATTTTTCCTTTACGTGGTAATGGTGTTTCAGGAACAGGTTCTCTTCTGCAAGAGACTTCACACTGTTGTGACTCCTTCAACTCTGGTACACATTTTTGAGTCAGCAGTGTAGTGTATCGGAAGGGAATATGTGAGTTGTTCTACTGGATAGAGTGTCTTTGCATAATAAAAAAATTGCAAAATAGGCGGTCTCATCCATTTCCTCCCATTTTCTTGGTTGCTGTAGTTTGAGAAAAGGCAGATATTTATTCTTTTCTAATTCTAGATATTTTTCCCTCACAAAGGTGGCCCTGGCTCTGGCAAAGGTAGCCAGTGCGAACAGTTAGCCAAGAAATACGGATTTACTCACCTGTCCGCTGGTGACCTTCTCCAAAATGAGTTATCATCATTATCAGAGAGAAGTAAATTGATCAAGGACATCATGGAATGTGGTGAACCTGTGCCTGGCGTAAGAGATGGTTTTATTTGGTGTCCTAATTAAACAAAGTTTAAATGGTTAAACAAAATTTAAATGGTTATACAAAGGCAGTGGTAGGTAGATTGTCTAAAAAGGTGGAAATAAGAGACTAGAGCTGATGACTGCCATTTAAGTAAAATTATTCTGCAACTTGAGGGAGAAGTTTCCTCGTTGCCAGATCTGCGGCACTTCTTTCCCCTTTCATGCCAGTATTTCTTTACATTTCAGACTCACATAGGCAACAAATTAGTCATGAAATCCAGTGAGACAGATGCTGTGCTATGCATTGCAAAATGTAAGAAGAAGTGCAGGAAACAGAAACTTTATGTCCATTTTATCGCTTCACATTTCAGATTCAGAGCTGGTCTTTCTGGCAGCTATTCTAATTTACAATACCTGCAGCGGTTCCCTGCAGAGCTGGCTGGCCTCCCAGAGTAGCTGGACTGCAGTTTAGTGGGGACTGTGAGGACAGAGTGTGCTGTTCTCAGCCTGACTTGCCTTTTAGATGGCAGGTCTGCAGCCCCAGCTCTTGGTGGGTCTTCAGCAAGTGCAGCTAGATTGTAGGATGCATTTGTAAATGAAAGATACTGGGAAGTGCTGCTCAGGGGAAACTAAAAGCTGTGCTGATGCTTGATTTTGATTGCTTTGCTCTTTGGTGTGTTTGGTCAGATGGGTCTCTTATCACTTTCCATGTAATATAATTATATCAATGACATAGCAAAGTGCAATCAGATTGGAAAATGCTGCAGCAGTACTCCAGAGTTTCACAGGTATTAACATTAATTTTGAAACTATGGAATATTGCCAGCTATTTGGAGGACACTTTGGGAACTCTTGGCTGGGTGGCAACACTAGATTTGTGTAGCATAGCTGGTCCTGAGAGAAGAAAAAGTAGGGTGCCCTGCTACCTGCAAGGACAAGAAGAACACCTGTGTTCACAGGACCTGCTTTTAGCAAAACAAGGCAGTTCTCAAGGGCATAGGACTAAAATCCTAAAGTATCAAAGATATAACGGTATCAATCTTTCGTATTAATTAACCGAGTAACAACCTTCCTTTCCAATGCAGGGTATTGTCCTAGAGCTACTGAAGGAAGCCATGGTTTCCAAGTTTGGGGACACAAAAGGATTCCTGATCGATGGGTATCCCCGGGAGCTGAAGGAAGCAGAAGAGTTTGAGAGCAAGGTGACCATATAATCGTAATGCTGTTATAACTCCATTAAGATACGACTGTAACTTTTGATGCTGCTTGGGCCACATCTTCAGCTGATTGCAACAGGGACGTGTAAAGAGCCAATCCAACAGCGTGGTGCTGCTGAACACTGAAACTTTGGCACCCCATCAATATAGCAACTCCAGCTTTTGCCCTCACCTACACAGACTGTGTAATACCAGGAGAAGTAAAGGCTGATTTTACCCAAATTTAGTATAAACCAGGAACAATTAACATTTAGTGGAAAGCACCATTTTTAGAATCAGTTTTCTAATTCTAGTGGATGGCTGCTATAGTTCTCATGAAAATCTCATCAGGCACTAATTGATGTAGGTTCACGAAAGCATGTATCTTCACAGTTAGTATCTCTTACCATTGAGCCGGCTCTGCTAAAGCTTGCTGCCACTTTGAAACAGCAAAACACAGATTAAATTTTTGTGATGAGTAACAGGTGGCATAGCCGTAAAAAGAGCGTTTTGCAAGTGACTGCGTGGCAGTTCAGAGCGTTACCAATTTCCTCAGTATGTGCTAAGACCTACTGAGAAGTCTCAGCTGTACATTTCTCAATCTGCAGAAAATACTCTATAAAAGCCCTATGAATGAATTTGCCAGGGTTTAGGAGAAAAGAAGTGGTGAACTAGGGGAAATAGTTAAGTATATATTCTATCATATTACACTCCACAAATGACCTATAAAAGTTTGAAAGGTAATAAAACTTTAATGAATCATCTGTTTTCTCCCTGAACCTTTAGCTACTTTATTTAGTTGATCACCACAAAAGCCTAGCAAGATTTAGGCATCAGAAGCTGGACAAAATAATGGGCAATAGGGTTTGCTGTAGAAGCCATTCACAGAAATGCTGATCTATTAGTTACTTTACTAAAATGCTGCAGACTGTTAAAAAGACATTGGAGATTTCTTTCATTTTGTGTAGAAGGAGGAACTATTTCAGCAGTGCTGCTTTTCTGGCAGGCGTATGTGTCATGTCCTGTGAACACTGGTGTATGCTATAAAGTAGGACTTAGAGATTGAAATGTCCTGGACTGAGGCATTGCCAGGCAAACAAGTCTTGATGCATCCAGTGCAAAAGCAGAGCCCCTTTCAGTCCCTGCAGACACTGTAGCAGCAGAAGATGCTGTAGTCCTGAGCTGCCTTTGACATTTGGATTAAAATACAAGGACCCCAAGTGATAATTTTGAATGTGCTAAGTCATCCCTGTTGTAGCCACGTATCCACTTCAGTTTTCATAGGGTGAACTTGTCTGGCTGGAAGCTGCTCAGTAAGTCTGTGAAGTTTTTTTAAATGAGTCATTATTGAGATAATGCTTTGCAGTTCTTTCTAAAGGGCAATGAGAAGTTCTTCCTACATTACGATTGAATGAAAAGAGGTGGACATCAGGCTTTATTAATTAATGGCGGCAAAGTGCAAATGAATAATGCTACATATCTACATGATGTGCAAAAAGCATTATAATTGTTAACAAAGAGCTGTTCTATTTAGAAGACATCAGGAATAGTGATTATACTGAAAAGCTTGACAGCCCTAAATAGAATTAGCTATGTAGAAGCAGCTTATTCTCCAGCCAGTTTTGCCCAATTCTTTTCTACGATATAATTGTACTCCTACCTAGCCATAATTCTAGAGAAGCACATGTTTCTGTTCCCTCCTCAGTCCTTCTGCTAGGTGAGAAGTAGAAAACAATATTAAATTATAAGTTCTGCATCACCAGGTAGAAGATACCCAATAAGACGGAGTAAAGACCCAATACATTAGACGTGTTTGGCTTCCTGCAGATATCCCCACAGCATTCATTATTTAAGCTAAATTGTGTCAGGAAAACACTAATTTTAAAAAATTGCTGTAGTAGTAGTAAAAATTGCTGTAATATCTCATAGGGGCATTACCTTTACTTTTTGCAATTTTTAACTTGGAAAAATGACATTTCTATAACGTTTTAAATTCCAGAGAATAGCAACATTGAAACTTCTAAGACAGCCACATAGATTTTTTCAAAAGCAAATCAGACCCAGTCTGTAAAACAAGGTACTATTTTCTGATCCTACCAGTCATTAGACTCCTTTGCATCCTCATTGTAAGGTGGTGATATGACTATTAAGTGATTAAAGGAATCATTCCTCATTTACTGTATTATAATTTAGAACAGACCATGGAATTCCTCATGTGGAGCTGGGAGGAAATAACTTCACACCATCCTACTCCAATTATATAAAAAGGACATTTGTTTTAATCATTGATTAAGCCCACATCTTTTTTAACCTCGTGATCTAAGTCTCTTGCGCTGTTAAAACTGACTTGTTGGCTTTTTAAATCCCAAACTCCAATATTGGTGCTGCTAATAGCATTAATGTTTTCTGAGCTGTGTGGAAAAAAATGGATGGATAAAAGCCTGTCATTGAGCTGTCCAACATAATCCCTTGGCTTCAGCTGTCTCTTAGAAAGTCATTAAGGTAGCAGAAAGGTCAACATAATCCAGACATCGTCAGTCAAATGCAGAAGGCCTAACATGAAATATTTACCTTTAGAATATTTCTTCCTTTAAGGGCTGTCAACAAAGGTAGCAATGGCAATTTCCATATATCAGTCATTCAGATTTCTTTGCTGTAGCCATGGTGAAAGCATGAATTTCTAATGGTCAGCAGTGTGAAGAACAGTCGTCTTTTCTCAAGACTTCTCACTGTTTCCTAAAAGGTGTTCTCCAAATCCCTGCTAGAAAGGGAAGGAATGAGAAAAAGCCCGAGAGCATCGCTGAAGGATTTAATATGTAACTGCAAGGAAAAATTACATTACTTTTCTCTGATCCTGTAACACCTTTATTTTACTTGATAGCGTGGAATTTATTCCTTTAGATCAGCCCAACAGTTGTTGCTCAGACAAAGCCTTGTGTCAGAGAGAGCTGTTCTTGAGCAGGGTGCATGACAGAGTGTGTTGCAAGATTTATGCTAAATGACACACATATTTTTCAGCATCTCAGGGAAAGAACGATGGGGATTTGTGTTTAGAACTTTTGGCTCTCTCCTAAATTATTATAAGGCACATTTTGCTCTTTCTTGCCAGTTCTTTTTCACTCATAAAGTACTGCAATATCTATTATCAAATGTAGACAGAGACAGTTATTTACTGTCTTTGCCAAGGCCTGGGAATAAAAATAAATAAATCTGTATTTATTTTGTTTATAGAAAAGGGCAGACTCTCCCTTACAACTAGTTTGGCGCTAGCCAAAAAGCACTAAGTGGTGGGCTTCTCATAGAATTCAGAAATTACTCACCAATTTGAAAATGCAGAGAAATATATCACATCCTTCCTTTATGCCATGTGTAGTAATGATGTAGAGTTACACTGCAAATATTGACATAAAATAGTGTGTGACATAAAGTAATTCACAGGATGTATTCCTGTGAATACGTCCAACACCAAGCGTTTGGTGGTGTCCCTGAGTCTGTCTGTTGCTACTCATTTCCATTTCAAGTGGGCACACTTTAATTTGGACATTTCCTTCTATTGCCTCTTGAAATTCTAAGCTATAGTTTACCACTCCCTGAATGCAAATATACTCTTCACAGATTGAACAAAGCAAAGGCTAAAAACATGACTGTCAAGAATTCCATGAGTTGCTGTTTGCTTCGAGCTTTTATCAAACAATTGCAAATAAAGAACAAACTGACGATCATCAGTGCAAGTAGCCAGAATTTTTCAGATCATATCTCTTTTTCTCTGTATGTGTAAAGCCCAGTCAAGCACACCCTTGATCCTGAGTACTGGGATCTCTAAGTGCTGCTACAGTAAGATATGTTTGTTAATAAGCATAATTTCTGCATAGATAAATATGAAAGTAATTTCCTAATAAATTCCTTGATGAATCTTTTGGTAGCATTTGTTTTTAAAGTTATCCAAACAAAATCAGTTTTACCAGGCCAGCGGTTTAAATATGTGTTGTTTTTCTTTGTCTCTAGATTGGGGAGCCAAAACTTGTGTTCTGCCTGGACTGCTCTGCAGAAACCATGAGCAGTCGCCTTCTGATGAGAAATCAGAGCAGTCACCACTTTGATAACGCCGAAACCATCAACGAAGGAATTGAAAGCTATTACCAAGCATCAAAACCTGTGATTGTATACTATGAAAGGAAGGCACAGTTATGCAAGGTAAATTGCTTGGCCTTTTGAATTAAATTATTGCTTTTTACTTCCATTATATGAGCAATATTTGGAAAATACTGACATGACACAATTTATGAGCTGTATTAGTTTCTGCACTTTCCAGTTTGTTCTCATCTTGCACTTCCCTGGTTTGTTTGCAACTTCTACAAACTTCTGAGTTCCACAGTACAATTTGGAAGAATAAACCCACAGATTTATCTTGAGTCTGAGAACATATCTTGAATCACTACCTCATCTGTATAGAATCTCTTATTAAACATTAATGCTGGAAAGCTTTTCTTTAAGTATTAGGATTTATTTCTCTATAAGGGCTTTCAAAGTTAGGATGAAAGATTATGTTAATCCAAAGCCCTCTAGTTAAATTTACAAAATTGACAGTGTATATCCTGAAATAAAACAGACCTGCACACCAGAAAGATCTTTCTGCTGGAAAAGATGACATAGTTATATTCATTCCAATGAATTACCCCAGTTTACACCTGCTGAGGATGTGATAGTTAAAGCATTCTTTTTATTCTCTAATCAATAGTTTACAGAGAAACAAGAAAAATTCCATCAGTGCAATTAACTGGGTTTTTTTTATTTTTAATTTTATTATTTTTAATTATTTAATTTAAT